GAGTCGTTTGTTAGCTCTGTGTACAGCTTAAGAATTGTCAGATTGTTGATTCTGCATTATTTTGCTGCTGCTGCTACACTAGGAAGTACTTAGTGATGTGGCAGAATATGTGTGAGACCCTAGGTGGGCTCAAGTATATCAGAGCTGTTGAGGATGGCATAGTATAGGGCAGAGTTCAGATCCATTGTTCATAGAGTCACTGTGACTCTGTGGCACTTAACAAGAGTGACAAAAGATTAAATTTAATACATTATCGTGCACCATCACATTTCTTTGTTTTGGAGTCTGCTGAGTAATTTGAATGACATGTGATTTTTAATTAATTATTTTAAAAACAAATAAACACATTATGGAATGCAAATTTTATGTAAAGTTTTTGATAAGATGGAAAATTTCAAGATCTTTCAAGCTTGGATGTGCCCTTAGAACTCACCCACTTCTGCTCATAAATGAAATGTGGAAAAGTTAGTTTGTTAAATGTTGGAAATAAAATTTAAATGTTCTGTGGTTCCTATGTAAGAACACAAAATGAAGAAAACAATTTGTTTTATTAAATACATGTCTATACTTGTCATTTTAAGAATTCTGAGGTTTATCACTTTGACTTATTGGTGGACTATGTTTTTTGACCGTTCATTTGACAATTACTCTAAATAATTCTTTGATAAATGAGCTCTGTTACTTTTTTCGTCCCGCAGGTGCTGTACAGAAGTCTTCTAAAAAATTAGAAATGCATGTTTATAGCAAGAGATTGGAAATCATGCTTCAGTAAGTTTTTTGTTTGTTTTCTGTTTCGGTGGCTGTTCTGATTTTCTTTTTAAAAAAATTTATTAATTTTAATGAACATTTACATAGATTTTGGATTTCCATTCATTCATTGTTGCACTTTTTTCTCTAGCCCTCCCCCCCCAGTTCTCTCCTCTCTTTGAAAAGCTAAAGATAAACTCCTTCATTGGTATACATTCCCCCCACCCTCACCCCTGCCCCAAATGCACTCCACTATGCAACCTTAATTCTGGATTCCTGTGATAACCATAATACCCTATCATATATTGCTTTTAA